AAAAAAAGAAAAAGAAAAGGTTTCCTTGACAGGAAACAGCTTGTGGCTAATGAGATATGAGCCTGTCAGTTGTTCTGCAAAGCAGTATTGGTCCTCTACAAAGCATAGCAGAAACAACCTGTGGTAGAATATACATCACTATAGCTCCATCTAGTCAAACTAATTGAAATAATTTTGCTAAAAAAAGCTTCCTAAAATGAGCAGAGGGAGTGGGATACAACACAATGACAGGGATGTCTAAATGCAACAGCCTCTTTGCCACAGCTTCATTGTTTATTGTAACTTACCTTTGCAAACCATTGTAGTGTTTTCTAATGAAACTCCTTGCTTGCTTTTCAGATAGAAGGGGATTGTAATACGGGCCATCAGTAATTTATTTATTTTTTTTAACTCTTTATTAGTGAACTCCATACAGACAGGAAAATACTTTGTCCTGCCTCAAGGTTTGATCGTGGAACAGAATGTGTTTGTGTATACTGTGGTGGATATAGGTGTGTTTGATGGACTTGACCTGCTAGTGGAGGGTAGAAATGTCATTGCCAGCCATTTGTTGTGAGAAAAGGCAAGTCAGCTGGATGGGTAGCCCTGTCTTGACAATGGTGATCATCTGAGCTGTATCCCTTATCTCAATCATACCTGCCAGTCATCTCAGGTAATAGTAAAGTAGGAAATAAATTGTACTGAACTTACCTAAAATGCTGTGCTCAGTGCAGTGAAACATAGGGAAGTATATCTGAGAGCTACAGGAGCAGAACTGGAATGAAGGCCTGACTTTGGAATGGTGTCTGAGAGAAAAATCGCAGCACCATGGTAGGCTGGCAGTCACAGTTTGGGTTCCTGTCTGATCCTGTGGCCAAGAGGACTCGTCTTGGTGTGCAAACAAGAACACAAAGTGCTGGTGGAGCAGTGGCATCACCTTTGCATTTTTTTCCTTCTGTAACTGCAGCTGTGAGCTTTCCAGGTCTGGGCTGGAACACACTTCAGAAAAAAAAAAAAAGATGACAAATTGCAGAGGGCACAGAGAAGAGCCACAGACTAATTAAGGGATTAGAAAAATACAGTTTCTACAGGAAGACTTAGGAGCTCAATTTATTTAGATTATCAAAAAGAAGGTTAATGGGTGATATGATCACAGTCTCTAAGTGCCTACAAGAGAAATTTGATAAGAAACAGCTCTTCAGAGCAGGATAAAAGATATAAGAGCCAGTGGAAGCTAAGTGTTACAGCAACATACTAAGAGTAAATTCTGTGGTTTTGTTTAAACAAGGGTGACTGCTGCTCTCTGAAAGAAGTTACCAAAGGGGCCATTAATTTTCCATTACTAGACTTCTTAAGTCAAGGTGGAATGCTTTTGTTAGAGGACGTTGTCTTGTTTAATTTCGACTTCCAGAGTTAAGGAAGGAATTAGGAAATGTGAGTTTAATACCTATATTAAAAAGTGTTCATACTAAAGAATCATAATGATAGTTTCAGGTTGTTGAAATTATGACAGCCCCAATCTGGCAGGGCCATCTTATTGAAGGTTCATCAGCAACCATTCTTGATATAAAGGGCCTATTCAAATGGATCAGAACCAGCCTATTCAGTGCTGGGAGCATGAAGGGGCTTTTTGGCAGTGGTAATACGTTACCCCAGGCATAAAGGGTTTTCTAAAGCAAGTCCCTTGGGGAATGATGTGATTCCAGTCCGTGGTCTCCAGCTTTGGGTCACTGTGCTGCAGCAGGAGCCTGCACCTCTTATGGCCTGGGTTCTCCATCCCACTGAGCACTTGCATAGGCTGGCACCTTCCCTGGCATCCCTCCTGAGAACATTCTCCCTCCTTGTTTATCAGAAACAAGACCTCTCCCACAAAACACTGTCAGTCCCCCCAGCAACCATATGCAGTCTTTAGTGGAATAAAAACAATTCTTTGACACTTAAAACACACGATGCTGGTGCTTTCCTTAGTGTTCATCTGTTTCCTAAAGGGTTTTACAGCCTTCTCCAATACAGTTGTTAATAGATTTTGTCTTCACTGAGAGGTGTGAAGTATCCATTCATTTGGTCTTGCTTTATCTATTTTATTCTGTTCTGCACAGGCTCCTTGCTTTCCACTTGGGCTACTTTCCATATTAGATGGCTCATTTTCTCTGTGCCTCTTTTTGTACTCCGAGCTTCCTATGAAGCTCTGTGCATGTTCTCCAGATCCAAGCAGCTTCTCTGTTGGTAAAGGGATAGGATGATTGTTTGGGTCTCATTTTTATATGCTAGATTATTTCTTGCTTCCAAAACGTCAGCACACACTGGAGTGGTCAGAGAAAAGAAAGTTCTTCTGTCCTCTTCAAACTGTGGCATCATCATTACCCATTTATCTGGTTGATCAGAATAGTTTCCATACAAACCACTCTTCTGGTCAGACAAGTCTGTGACTTCAGAGTCATTAGCAAATGATAGACTGCAGGTACACTGACACCTTCATGGTGAGAAGATAATATCAGAAAGGGAATGTAGGGTAATTATGGGGAGATCAGGGTAATTATGGGGAGATCTCCTAAATTGTGTTAATAAGGTCCTAAATCACTACAGTGGAATTTTTATTAAACTGTCTTCCATTCCAGTTCTTTAACATAAATGACAGATTTCACTGTGCTAATCTCTGGCAGTAGGTTCTGTTTAATGCTTTTTGTATGCAAAAAAGTATTTTAGCCCACAGAACCTCCTATCCACAACTCATACTTTGGAAGGTTATTTCTTTGGTAAGTTGCTTGTAATTTAGTGGAAGTAATAACAGGCTGTGTGCGGTTTTTTTTGATCTTTAAAATTCTAATTTAAGCGATAAGGAATTTATGCAATATCTTGAGGTTCCTTGACACATCGGAATTGAAAGAGGGGAAATAGAAGGAAATGACAAATCTTTTCTGTTTTCCTTTTTTTTTGTTTTTTTTTTTTTTCTCCATCCTTGTTTATGATTTTTCACTCATCAAGTATTTCTCAACGTGTGGCTTTCAGGAAGCAGGGTTTGATTAATGAAGTGTCAGATACAGAGGATGTCATGAGAATTTTGGCATTTTTTTGTTTGCAGCATTTAAATTAGCCATGGTGTTTTCAGCATTCCTTATTTTCTATTTACTATATTTGCTATCCAGTGGATAGTAAATACCCTCTTAGAGTAAATATCAGTACACAGTAAGTGTTGATCTTTAGACATCTGTAGGAAGTTGATCTTTATGCAAAAAATATACCAGTTATTCAGATTTGCATTTTGATGGAAATATTTATAACACTGATGTAGGTACTTATTTTCCACATCTGAGGCCATCATAATTATTTTACATAGGGAAACCAAAATCTGGCTAGAATTAAATCTTTGGTTTTATCATTAATTCAAATAGTTCAGTTGTTAATCTTTTAATTTGTGCTTCCTTACTCTGCTCATCTGAAAACCTGTGTACTAGATAATAGATTTCCATTATCATGCCTTTTATGTAGAAGACATGCTTCAGTTTGACTTAGTTGGGAGTAACTCTGATGAGAGCCACTAAAATAGGAGGTTTCTGTGAAGGTTTTGTGCTTGATTTCTGATTCTGTATTGGTATCATTAGTGAATATTGTACATAATATTTCCTTGATGTACTTATGACATGCCTATGAGCTTGTTTGCTCCTGTGGGACTGTGGAGAGGTTTTCAGTTTCTGACACATCCCACTTGAGTGTCAGTCTTGGCATTATGCTGCTTTGTGTGGCAGCTCTACCTACTCTCCAGTGCTTCTTTTACTAACAGAACTTGTATAAAAGGAGAGGAAGAAAGAAGCATATGTTTGATTTAGAGTATTGGATTGTCTTTCTTTTGCGTAGTATCCCTAAGTAAATTAATACATGTCCTGGATAATGATCATACAATCCATGATGTGTCTTGTTGATTACTGAAGGCTTTTTTTCTTTCCCCAGCCATGTTAAAAATGACTTCCATGTTTTTCTTCCATGTTTTTACCATGCTCCCTTCTTGCAGCACTGTTTGTCAGATTGTGCTGTGCTGTTTGACAAGGGCTGTGCTATTCTCCCAATACATAAACACTTTAGCCTAACTACGCCATTGGAAATGCTTGTGATTTAAGAACCTGAGTGATACTGCTCCTGTATTGCGTGGAGGCATTTGGAAATCTTCCCAGTGACTTTTCAGCAAGCACTTAATGTGATTCATAATGCTCTGGGATAGAATCACAGATGTGAAAGAGACCTACTACATCATCCCTTCCATTTTCATATGAGATCAGGTTATATTCCCTCAACAGAGTATGCATCGAGTATTAGATTCACACTACATTTGCTCTCCAACAACTTTCCAAACCTGACACGAGAAACGTCATCCTGAGAGGCCTTTAAAATGTATCAAAAGAAGCAGGGAGTCATGGTTGCCCTGTCCCTCTGTTTCAAAAACTCTGTGTGCATTTTTATGCTTTCGGTGATGTTTTCAACAATGATTTAACTGTATTGTCTGTACTGAGTCATCTCTGGGTATGTCTGAGGGGATAAAATTGCGGGGCATTTCTTTGTAACTAAAACAGTATGTTTTATGGGGCGGGGAGGGAGGGAGGAAGAATCCCTATTTCTTAATTCATCTATCTGTTTCTCAGATACAGAAAATATATTGTAAATGTTATAATTTTTTTGGATTATTGTGCTACTGTTCTTTGGTCAGAATAGATCGCACTGAATTCAGGGTCTGTCGTCTGTGGGAAGCTGCTGCAATAAATTCAATTCTACAGCTTAAATGTTTTCTTTTTTTTTTTTTTTTCCTCTTACTCTCTTCCCTTCTGCATTCCTCCCCTCCCTCCTCAGGCAGCCAAGGGCAGTTTCCACTTACACAGAACGTCACGGTTGTTGAAGGGGGAACAGCAAATTTGACCTGCAGGGTCGATCAAAATGATAACACCTCCCTCCAGTGGTCAAATCCAGCTCAACAGACACTGTACTTCGACGACAAGAAAGGTAAATTGTTTCCTCAACTCGTGCTTCTGCACCATTTTTTGTAAGAAAAAAAAAAGTTTTAAACCATTTCTCTTTGATATTCTAATGTGGAAATATTTACTAGGAATGTATTTTTTCATTTATAATTTAAGGTTTTTTGGAGGGGCATTCACTGAAGCATTCTCTTGCATATAAAATTATATTTAAATTATTAAAGGAAAAGAATAGCATTTGAAAGTCTGATTGTAAGATAATTTGGAAAACAGTGTTGCAAAATATCTTGGAAAAGCATTTATGAGTGGCAAGAGAAGTAGTAGCCCATAAACTTTGTGACTTATTTTTGTCAGTGTGTATGCATATATATATATATATATATATATATTATATATATATATTTTTATATATATATATGTAATCCCACTGTTAGCTTCAAGTGTACTGCAGTGTGGATGTTAGTTCAATGCACAGTTGCTGTGTTAGGTGTTCTTAACAGCTAATAAAAACACTTGGGGTTTGTACCCTGATATTTCCAATTTTTCCATGCACTGATTTTTTTTAATTTTAGTTAAATTAGACTGTAAAAAAGACAGGAAAACGTCGATCCCTTACAAAAAAATGGTCATTATTTCTGCTGTGGTTTTTATTTCTAAGATGTTAATTTGGACTGAAAAAGCATTACATTTTACATAGTAGAATGTTAACATAAAGATTACATGAGATTCTGTAAAGAAATTAAAACTCAAGTCAGGGGTAGTAAATTCATCACTTGGTTTTAAAAAGGTAGAAGCTTTGGTGTCGATTTCAATGGTACAGAAGTTCAGCCTTTTTTTTTATACTTAATTCTGGTGCCTGAATTTATTCTGAAAGGTGCTACATACTCTAGAACGAATTTTAACAAGTGCACTTATTACTCTGCTTAATTTTAAAGAACTGCTGTCCAAATGCTTTGCTGAATGATTACAAGACTAAAACACCTTGTAGGACTGAAAACACTTTGTGGATCTGTGCACTTCAATAAAAGAGAATCTAAACCCTGTCATTTTATACCTGCAGAAGCTGCAATCAAAATATGTTTTTTTACTATTAATATAATAGCTGAATAGAATCTCTTGATGGTGTTGAAGTGGTTCCTTTCTCTTTTATCTAATTTCCTGTAGCGTGTAATCATTTGATTTGCAATTTCTTTGAAATCATAAGTACCTTTCGAATGCAGGACTGAAGATGAGAGGTTTATAAGGTGCAAACTTTTGAGCTGTGAGTCTAGTGCTGTAACCTTTGCTCACGTGGACTCCTTTATTTTAGCTGCAATCGTTAGTGATTTGGGAAGGGTGAGCAATGTCCATGGAACTAAAAGCAGAGAGAGCTTGTCTGTTGATAGAGCACATCAATACTCAGAAAATCTATATCTTTATAAAAAATAAGTGACATTTTAAAGGATGCTGGGAAGGACGTGGGAGGACTGCAAATACATTAATTTGAACATTGTGGCCATTTTGGTGTGAATTAAATTTTCTGTGTACTTTAGCTAAATCTGTAATTTTACGACGAATAATTGAAGTTGGCATTACTTTTTAATATAATGAATTGAAGCAACAGAATCTGAATGGCATGCAGAATAGTAACTACTTAGAAGCAATTTATATTCCCCACAGGAAATGTGAGGAGCTGAAGTGTGTAAATTTTAAGGGCCACACTCTTTATTGAACTTTCAGCTTTTCCCAAGACTTTAAGAAATGGTAGATGATTCATTTTATGGAGGGATTACTCTGCATCTGTTAGACAGGAAAATGTCTTCCTGTGGTCAAGAAAAACTTCAGGTCCTTCCATCAGAGGTATTTAGTCTTCCTCCTGCTGGTGAAGATTTCCAGTCTTGAATCTACTGAGGGGAGCGAGCAGTACATCCAGTTCCTGTATGGGAAACGTTCTGCCATTTCTGAAAATGAAGTACAGCTTTCACTGACAAATTTTTTTTTCTGTGTGTATATGTAAGTGTTCTTATAAGTAAAAAAGAGATTTCCTTTATATTCTTTAGATGCTGGCATTATTGAACCAAAATGGAGAGAGATATTTTTGGCTCTTATATCTTGGTGGTTTTCTCAGGAAATGATGCCAAGTGAAACTGTAAAGGCTTCATCTTTTTTTTTTTTTTTTTTTTCTCTCCTCATTTCCCACTTCTCACAGCCAGCCATACAATTTGACTATTAAAAAAGTAACTCTCTACTAGGTCCAATTATAACATTTAATTTATTGAGAGCAGTGCCCCAGCCAGAGTCTTTTCAAACCTGTCCCTTGTTGTTAGCCAAAACCTACCTTCAGGTCTTACTTATCCCTTCAACACTGATGTTTAATACTATGTTTCTCAACCCTCAAAACTAATGAAAGCTTGAATAGGTATAGCTTGAATATGTTCTGTGTAGGAAACAGGAGCTTAGATGAGGAGCACCACCTTTATATCGATCAGAGATGGGTAACTGTGGGTGTTGCCATGTTCAGAACTCAATGAAATGTGCTTACTTCTAACTTCAGTAACTTATTTTCTATTTATACAAAGGATACACATAGGAATGAGAGTATATTACTTTCATGTCTGGAAGCATAAAAAAAAAAAAAATTCAAGAAACCTTTCTACTGATTGCCATATATTTTAATATTTATGAGAGGGTCAAGTAGTAAAATGAAGGAAGACATGTTAATATCAAAAGAGGGTGGGATGTACAGCAAAAGATGAGGGAGGTGAGAGCTGTCAGTGTATAGAATCATAGAATTGTTCAGGTTGAAAAAGACCTTTAAGATCATCAAGTCCAACCATTAACCTAGGACCACCACCATATGGCAAAAATAGAGCAAGTTGTCCATGTTGTGAAAAGCCCTCCACTGGTAGATTGTCCTTGGTGGGACCCCTTTCATGTTCGTGCTTCTTTTTCAAGCAAATGGGTTCCCCTGTCTTGCAAAGACATTTTCTGACCAAAATTTTCTTGCCATAGGCCAAGAAAAGAGTCTCCTGGTAACCTGGAATTTTTGTTTCCCATCCCCATGCCTTTCCACAAAAGGTTAATTGTTAGAGTCTTGTTCATTAAAAATTGATTACACATATATTATGAAAAACACATTCATGTCATTTTGCTTTCTTCTGAACTGTGATGCAATCACTGACATTGAAGTAAGGAGTCATTCTTCCTTTTTCTGTTTTAGACATTCTCAATAAGTACAAAAATGCAATGAGACAAACACACAAATATCAAAGCTACATTGTTAAAATTCCTTTTCTGCTTCTGGTCACATCCTGCCATGGCCACCTGTTTTTAGGTACAGGTTTTTCGCACTTGGGAGGATTTTGTGTCTGGTAAAGAACACTTCTACCCCTACCCTCACATCAATTTAATTTTTATTTAATATTTATGAAGGAGACAACTACTATTTTTGAGACTTTTTTGGCACATAGCCTATGCAGTCTTAAAATCACACAAGTAGAAATTTAATAGAGTTTTGTTTCAGAAATGGCAATGCTATAAATTTAGTGAATATGAAACCACAGTTCAGAGATTCTTTCCAAGTCTCCATCATTTTAAGTAGATTAGTTGGGTTTTTTATAAATTCAGGCCTAAAATATGTTTGACTCATTGTGGTGATGGAAATTGGGAGAGAAATCTCATTTTCCTACAGGAAATTAAGTAATAGCTTTGTTTTAGTATCTAACCAAGATAAACCAGTTGCTTCCCTCCAATTCATACTTTGTCACTTTAAAACATATTAAGGCTGGAATTAACTTCACCTTCATTATTATTTTAACACAGAGTAGCTAAAATATATGAAAATACAGATGTTTGATCTTGTGGACTTGATCTCACTGATGACTTGTCTCCTTCACCATGCTGTCAGCCTGTTGTCCTTTTTGGTACTTGGGTTTTTTCTGGTGCCCCTACCTTGTAGCTTCAGAGGCATTGTGCATCAGTTTGATTTTTAACTCTTCCTCTTTAATTTGAAACATAAAATATTTAGCTGACAGTAAAAACCACTATATTGCATTAGTGAATACATGGTCTTAAATGTTAACAAGCTTAACAACCCTACCGTGGTTTTCCACCCCCTGATAGAATTTTAAAGACTGTGCCTTCCTGAAAATTAGGAATTCACCTAACTCAGCCTAAGCAAGTTCAGATTCTTTGGAAACAAATGCAAATTGCATGCTGCACTTGAAATGAGTCTTTCCCAACACAATTTTCAATTAAATTGAATAATTGCCATAGAAACCTCCATATCACTTTATGCACCCAAGTACCTATAATTGCATAGCTGCCTTTGGAAGAAACACAATGTGTGACCATGTAGAACTGGGGGATATTATTTTAAATTAGCATAGCTTATTTTAGTCTGTCTTCACTGGTGTCACTTCTTAAGGATTTTGAGTGGGCGGTAAATACAGAGAGACGTAAATACGAACGCAGATCTATAAGAAAAAGGGCACAGCGTGGAAACACAGAGATAGCTGATAAAGAGAAGTCTGAAAAAAAACCCTTTATGGAGCTTCCTATAGCAGCAGTCTTCTCATGTTCCCATTCAGTAGGGAATATAGATAATTATGGAGCAGGATATTGAGTTATGGAAGAGACATGTACAACTGAACAATGGCTGTTGATACCAAAGGTGTTCAGTCTCATCAATATAAAAATGTGCAATCAGACTATAAAAAGGAAGAGAAAGTTGTACCTGGCTGATAGTTTTGCTCAGTTGGGCAAGTGCAAGTGTAAAATACCTGCTCTTCACCTTAACAGGGAAGTTTGCAGGTCTGTTGATGGTGTAACAAAAGTGTGTTGACATTGACCATGATAATTTCCCACAGACTAACACACCAGATTTTGATGAGACACATGCCTGATGCTGATCGTAGGTGGGTACAGGTCCCCTGTGCTTTCAAGTGGTAGCACTTTCATGTCCTAGTAAAAAATTATCCATCCTTCAGCAGCAGAATATGTTTCTTTAGATGACCTTTGATTTTTTTTTTACATGTAAGAGCACCTGAC